CGTTGAGGAAATTAAACCATATTAATTTTACTAGGACACACTTTTTTAAGTGTTTAAGTGTTATTCAGGAAGATTTGATTTTATCTTTCCCGTCCACTTGTTAAATTCTGGACCCGCCCATAAACGTGATCATTCATGCTTGAACGCTTGCGCGCAACTGCTCGTACACTGCGCTGTATTTGTTTTTTAAATTATATATTCTAAGCAAGTGAAGAAAGAAACTATCAATGGCCATTCATGGGAAATCAGGTTGCAAATCTCATAACCACTTTTACTGAGCTAGGCTCCGTAGCGGCGGCGTATGGGTAGGGGGTTGATTAGAAGTCCAAACACAGTTTAACAGACTGAATTTTCGTTTAATTCAGGATGTCTCCCAGCGCATTCCTGGGAGATGGAAAGTCATTATTAAAATCGCCACAAAGTGAACGCTGTTACCATGCGTTGTTTGATCAGGATATTGATGAGTACACTTCGGGCTCACATACACAATTCAAAGTAGACAGACTACAAGTTATATTAGTTACTAAAAATATATATATCTACGTGTCGCAACTGTTCATCAGTAGGATGCCTAAAATGAGTGCTATTCCACAATTGGTTTCGGCTCCATTAAATTCAAGGTACCTAAATTCAACATTAAATTCAAGGTTCCTTTGAAGCTCAGTTCAATGATCACGTGCGTGGCTTCAAATAGGTGGATATTTTGCTGTAAATTAAAGGTTCCTAAACATAGCTTTTAGAGGGTATAGGCTACGATTTGCGCTCATGAAACCTACCTTTGCTAACTAGCGCATAACGTGGAAACTATGCTTATGAAGGGTAACAGGAATAAGTTTTAAAAAGTTAGATATATTGCTTTCAAAATTTAGTGTTTCTGAGTGTGTAGAGGAAAAGTTCATGAAGGAAGTTGCTTCTTTGGTAAAAAAGAAAAATTGACGACTTGATGCTAGAGACAATAACGTCGTCTGAGACGGTGAATAAGACAGACCCATTAGAGGTCTGAGGACTTTAACGTCTTCTGTTTAGTGCGTCTTTAAAGACGCACGTAACAGACGGCTTTAACGTCTCAGACGTTAAATGCGTCTAGTATAAAAACGGGACGTAGTTAAGTTGGACGCTTTTATGCCTAACCCGTCCACAAACGACAGGAAGAGTCAGTGCTTTGTGTTTTTTTAAGAAAACTCTGTTATTTTTTAATGTTGTCGTCTTCTTTTATGCGTTTACACCAGATGACTTCAATGTCTCAGACGTTAAATGCGTCTAGACGACTTTGACGTCTCTAGCATAAAGACGGCCAATTATGCCTAACACATTCTGAATAGCTGATGAGGTGATATTTGGTAAAGAATATCAAAAAGTGTCAATTTTTTTGAAAAACACAAACGTTTTGGGTTTGTGACCCTTCTTTAGTGTGAGGAAAAAAACCGTTGTACAGTACTACCATGGATAATATCCATATCCATATCTATTATCCATGTGTAGACATAAAAATGATCGCAGCGCGCGCGCCCGTAATAGCACGCGCAAGATTAGACTTGCTCAACAGTCGAGCTTTTGAGCGCGTAGCGCGACAGTGAGCGCGACAGTGAGCGCGAAGCGCGATCGTACGAGCGCGAAGTGCGAACGAGCGAGCGAAAGTGCCGGGTCCTACCACACCAGACCAGAAAACCATGTGAACGACTTTGAGAAAGTCTAGCGCAAGATTTATTTAATGTCCCAATTCAGATAAAACTGAAATTGATATTCAGTCCTTTAGGCCTAATGTTGCTTAGCGTGAAAATCAACTGCATCTCACGTTGCTTTCGTTTGAAAGACGAGCAATAAACTGAAATGTTGTTTTCAATGGAAGACATGCCTCGATCCCCGTTGGTCTTTTCTTTATTCACAGTCCTTAGGAAGGTGGAAACATGCTTTTAGTTAACTCATTCAAGAGTCATTCAACCCTGAACCAATCGTAACTGCTTGCGCGGATCCATGCCCCTTGTACCGCTTGTGGTGTCATCAGTTTTAAGGATCACAGAAATTTTTGACAGGGGGAAGAGATCCTTCGAAACCAAAACCAGATGAGCACTATTCAATCAAACAAGCTAACAGGAGAGAAACGCAGTTTTTTTTGTCCTACTACCGGCATCAGGCTTCAGTTGTTCAAACGTCAAATAGCACTATCTAACGAATAAATCCGGATAAGGATTAGGGAAACCAATTCCGTTATGCAGTGGATAGAGATTTATTCAGTGGATAGCATTATCCATCCGTTGAGCAACTGGGACCAGCACTGCATTCCATCTAATCGTACCTTCCCAAATAAATTTTCTTACAAGTTCCGCAAACGAGAAAACGGGACAAGAAAAGCAAAAAAAGGGAGGATGACCCAACCCCGACATTTTGCTTTTTACGAATGCCTGGACCTCGAAAGCTGACATTTAGCATCAAGAACAAAAGGCTGCGAACTACAGCGTTTAGGTGATTTTAGTTTCGTTTGGGCTAAATGATATAGACGTCTATATTTTTGTCTTGGATAAAACTGTGATAGAACAGCAGGATTTGCCTGTCGTCCCTTTTTTTATATGAAACGTTTCGCCAGAAAAAATGAACCTGCCCACTAGCTTTAAAACTGAAGGTGCCTTTGACAAAGATTCCATGAGCAAATGGGTTAAAAACAATTGTTAAAATAGATCATATTGGTCGGGCGTTGAGTGAAAACTGACTATTTTTTTTGCTAGCTACTTTCACATTTCATTTCCTTTTCTGTATGTTATGTGGCAAAAATGTGATTCGCTTTAGTTGCGTCGGATGGACTAGTCTAGTAAAAGACAAAAGATTTTTTTTAATAAACCTCAGCGAGTAATTACACAAAACCGAAGCAATTCAGGCTTCTCAGGATGTCCAGTCACCACAAAACATAACCTAACTCGTCGTGCTTTCTAGATTGTCAATGTTCATTTTTCAGACGTCTATAAAAGATATGGAAACAAATAATTTATATCGAATAAATTTTGACATTAAGAATAATTTTCACTCATTTAAATAGCACAGGGTTCTCATTAGGTGGTAACTAGGTGGACTTCACCTTTAAGAAGAAAGTGACAAAAGTTTCCTGTACTGGCTATGTTAAAAAAGTGCGCCATTGTTACAAATGTTCCCTATGAAGTGACAAAAGTTCCCTATTAAAGTTAAAAAAGTGCCCCATTGTTACAAAAGTTCCCTATGAACGTGACAAAAGTTCCCTATCAATGTTACAAAAGTTCCCCATCAATGTTACAAAAGTTCCCCATGTTACCGAAGTGCCCTTTTTTCGTTACAAAAGTGCCGGTTCTTATGGCTCTCTCTCTCTCTCTCTCTCTCTCTCTCTCTCTCTCTCTCTGTCTGAAATACACTTTGAAAACAAGAAAAATCCACTTCAACAAAAATCGTCAAGAGGGAAAAACATTTTGCCCTTTGTCACGCAAAATCAACCATCAGTTCCTAGCCTTAAAAGTATTTTCATGAAACACTGGCAACTGATAGAGAACCAACTTCTTCTGAGACAGATCTACAAAGATCCTCCAATTATATCGCACAAACGAGGAAAGTCTCTAAAGGATATACTCGTTCTGTAAAAGCTTAACTCTGAGAATTAAAAGCCATAAACACGTTGGTGGAAGTCGTGATGTCAGGCTTGTCAACCCTTTGTAATATTCCTCGTTCTCCGTGCTGCAGGTAAAACTTTCAAAATGTCTAACTTGCTTCTACAATCACCTTAATTCGCCTGAAGAACACCTTACTTTTACGGACAAGCCGATAATACGGATAACAGCTAAATTCCAATACAAAGTCCTATTATTACGAACTCTCACTGTTATAAACACTATCTCATTGCGACATGGTCTCGAGGTCGTCCTCATAGGAAGAGTACGTTGTTCTTCTCCACAACGATTTTGAAGCCGGAAGGCCACAGTTGATGTGAGCACTTTCCTACGTCCCCACTTGAGAAATTGGAGCTGAAAACCGTTCAGTGAATTATTATTATTATCATCATTATCATCATCATCATCATTATTATTATTGTTGTTGTTGTTCTTAATGATGATATTTGTTATTGGGCGCACTTGTCCTCCGACCATCCATTTCAAGTTTATTACAAAGTGCGACAGTTTATTTTTATTACAAAGTGCGACAAGTGTTATTACAAAGTGCGATACGTGTTACAAAGTGCGAGAATCTCATTACAAAGTGCGACAGGTATTACCAAGTGCTACGATTATTACAAAGTGCGACAGAACACCTTTTTTAAGGCTCGTTGCAGTTATGAAGTTCAAATTTAGCACGAACAAAATATATTTATGAGACTTTACATTTAATAGGTTTCGTATGGCAACATAGATGATTGAAAGCAAACATTACATTTTCAGTTCCAGTATTATGTTTACGTAAAATCCAGTCATTAAATTTTCTCAGTTATGAATTTACACCCAGCTTGCAATCAGTGACTTAACCCATGTAACCATCAGTTTTTAAGTTTTTTGAGTGAATCAGTAGCTTTCATGTACTTGATTGTCTCTCAGATTCAGCCCAGGCGTTCTCTCTTGCCCTGTTGTCAGCGCGAAGTCTGGGAATTCGGTGGCGTCACAGCTCATAGTAGAGTCCAGCTTTAACCGAGTCGAGAACGCATGGAGACAAGGCTGTCTTTGGCTTCTTTTTCCAGCTTTTAATTTGATGCTTTCATTGACTAAATGATATTTGAACAAGATTTCTGCCAAATCTCGTCAAATTGAATGACTATTTGAAGATATTGTCGTTTGTTTACATTGCCTATAGAAATCAATAAAGTTGTCCCCAAAGAACGCATGCTCAACACTCTTACAAAACGTGGAGGGAACGTGGAGGGAGGGGAGGGCAAGGCTCACCTGGCCCCGCCCCGTGCAATTTTAAGTCTCAGTTTCTCGAACTTCCAACGCTAGTCACAATTTTGTATCTTCCATAACTTCCTGTTTGAAAGTGAGCTGCAAATTATTGTGATCGGCTGCCATATTATTTCTTCCTTTATTACTATTTTCCTGACTTCTAAAACAGAACAAATGCAAACCTTGCCTAAACTCAGGAATTCTTAATGCGTACATCATTGGATTGATAAAAGAACTGGAAAAATGTATAAAATAAGTGAAAAGGAGAACGTTTAAAGATGTGTTTTGACCGAAAAATCTTAACAAATAAATAATAATTGCGGGGATCCAAGAACTCAAGGTACCAACAGATACTAATGACAGAGCTTTCGTCAAACGCTGGATTTGCATGTGTCTGTTTTGGTAACAGTGAACAGATTGTTGCTGAATCTTTCTCCAAGTAACGATGTTGAGGCCGCAAATAGTCACAATTAGTAACAAGCCGTATAAAGTAGCGAAAGCGAAAAAAGCTCGCAGACTCAAGCAGAAAAGCAATATATAAGCCGTAGAAAATAAGGTAGCCAATGTCCAAGCCATCAAAATAACAAGCTTGTATTCTCGCGTGGAAAGTGTTCGGTGCTTCAGCGGCCAGAAAACGGCGTAAAATCTTTCAGCAGATATCAAAGCAGGGGTAGTGAACGAGGACATCGAGAAAACCGTAAAAATGATTTGAAGAAAAGTTAGAAATTCTGTAAAATATAACCTACTGCGAGTCGCCGTTACTAAATAAACAAATAAAGGGAGACTTGCACCTCCCCACACCAGATCAGCAAACGCCATATTCATAACAAGATATAAGCTTTTCTTATTTCGCAGCTTTTTGTTAAAGGTGAAGAGAACAATTGTGAGCAAGTTGCTCAGGAAAATAACAGCAGCTTCTGACGCAAGGGCACAACTCCAAGCGATGACTTGTGCCTCAGAAAGCATTTCGTTGATAACCATGGATGAAAAGGAATTATTGAGTGGCGAAGTCGAAGCTGACAAGTTCTTCATTTTTCTTCCTGTCTCTGCTTTAAGTTCTTGAAACGTGACTTTGAAGATGTACGAAAAACAGAGGCGTATATTAACAACCGCCCGGCCACAAAACCAAGGGTAAGTATAAGTTTTATAATTGCAATTGCGTTGGTCTTTCAGTCGAAACTAAAATTCATTATTATTGACCGCGATTACACCATATTGATACTTTTAACCATCTGTTTGCTAAGTAATGTCACCACCCGGGGGGATTCTTCCAAATTGGGGCTAGATAGGTATGTGCCGCCTGGGACTGTTTTTTAGGGTCTCCATTCATCCTTAACCCTGTTCAGACTGGGCTTTTTTGGTCAATCTGTGACTCGGGGGGGGGGGGGGTTTCTCGGACCCCCCTCTGTATCTCTGGAACCAATAATGCTAGGGTCATGAAATTTACACACAATGATCATCTCCGTACAAAGAGGCCCACACCTAGTTTTGACTTGCCACGCCCAATGATGACGTCACAGTGACGTCATATTCCGATTTTTCAATGTCTCTTATTATTTTTCCACTTAGATACGTAAAATATCAATAATATTGGTAAAGTCATCTCTTTGTTATCCTTTCTTATTAACTAGTAACAAGGAAACACTTGTACAGTGAGAAAAGGCAATAGGAAGCAATAAAATTTAAAATTTGAAAAGGTTGTCCGCCATCTTGGATCCGCAATCTTGGATCCGCCATCTTGGATTTCCGTTTTTTTGTTAAAATTATAATTTAAAGCAACTTTCAAAGGAGAAAAAGCTCAGAATGTATAAAAGAAGTATCAAACTAATGTTTATTATCCGAACAAATGACTTTGGAAGTGTTATTTGGAAAATAGAGCAGCATATTTGTCAAAGCAAAAAAGTGACAAATTTTACCCCACCCCTCCCCCCCCAAATATTCGATGTTGAAACATTTTGATGTAATTCAAAAACTAGTCCCAAGCAAAGACCATTTTAACAACAAAAAGCACTACAAGTGTAAAAACGCGATCTTAATTAAAACAAAAAATCACCATTTTTTAAATTTTCCAAAACCTATGGGTCAGAAACTGGTTGCCATGGCAACATGATTAATCACATGGACATGGTAATTATACCAAAATGTTCCTAGATAAATTTTAGGTAAAGTCAGAAAATTTGAACGTCATAGCTCTTTCTGTGTAGGAGTTATCACGATTTTGCCGAAGGGGGGGTTCGAAAAGCCCCCAGTCTGAATAGGGTTAAATAGGATATCTTTATTGCCCTTGTTGGCGTTGTGTTCCCGGTGTGATCTTTACTAGAAAGGCTCATGTTATTGTATCAGCTAAAATTTACGTGCGTAAATTACACGAGCGACAAATCATCTGTTAAAACGGAACTTTACTTCTGAGTGTTAGGAAAACGATTTAAGGAAGATTTGTGCTTTTCCATTAAAATATTAGTTTGTATTTCCCCTTGAATTGGGTCTCATTTTTCAAGCTTTGGCCTTTAAAAGGGGAACAGTTTCCTTTGTCTCATTCCTAAATAGGGTCAGTGTTTAAGACCCTGGAGGGTACACTGTCTACAAGAAGCGGCCTGGAAAGAAAAGCTTTAGTTCGTGTTCCGTAAGAAGGGTTTTGCTTGAAAAATGGGATACACGCGGAAAACCACCTGTGAAATGAAGAGCTGGAAACCTGTAGGAAGGAAGTTGTTGCTCGGTTGGGTCTTTTTGCTTGAACTTTTCTTGCTTTTTTGTGCTTTTTATTACCGTAGATTACTCTTTATTGCCTAGCTGTTCACTTTGTAAAAGCGTGCATTAAACTTTCAAGTGTAGGTAGGAGGAGAAAGGGAGGAAGTAGAGGAGAGATGATGATTAGGATAATGAAGGAGAGCTGATCGTTTTTACCTTCTGTAGACATGAAAAAAATTTTCGAAGGGCCAGTACAACCATTAAAAGTCTTGGAAAAAAACTGCGGTATTAATCTTTTTTACCGGATCCGCTTCAAACGAACTCCCCTTAAGGGTAAATCTCGAGGGGGTGGGGGGAGGGGCGTGAAGGCAAGTCTGGGTAGGGTTGTGCCGCCGAGGCCTTCAATTTAAACTAACATCATGGAATTTAATTGTTGGGACCGCACATGTAGACCGCTAATCGCCAACCTTCACACTCTTTCCAAGCGACACCATGTTAAAGGCGCTAAACAGTAAAATTGTCTGGAGCCGGTTAGAGCTGGTTAGCCAGATATCCACAACCTGATCAGTGGGACATACCCGTCTAGGCCAAAATAAGCCCTGTAAATGAGGCTAGCATGGACAATAAAAGGGCCCTTTCTCCTTTATTCCCACTTAAGTCCCTACGCCCTTCCCCTTCCCCTCCTGGGAACTTCAACACTTGGGTCCTCCCCTCTTGGTACTTTTGTCAGTTGCAATGCGATCACGTCATTGTAATTGACAGATGACCGCAGAAACGGTTTTCCCGCGAATAGCTAAAACATCCATGGTTCGATAATCTTTTTAATATTGACTGTAGAAAATAAGAGTTATGTGTTTATTTTCTCATATTTTTTTACGGGGGAAAACGGTAAAAAAAGTTATGAAATATGTTTACAAATTATACAGGAAGAAAAAAATTGAAAAATAAAAAAATGACATCGGGGTTTCCAATTTTTGTATTTAAATTGAAATAGACGAATGACCCACGGACCAAGTTTGCCGCCATAATAACTACTGCTTCCGACGCAAGACCACAACTCCAAACGATGACCTGTGCTTTAGAAAGGATTTCGGTCATAGTTGATAGAGAATCATGGAGTGAGGCAGCTGAATCTGACATATTGGTCGACGTTGCTTGAAAGGCGAGCGAGAAACAAAAACGTTTAACAACCGGGTCCCCTGATGTCAAACGCTATTGTAGAGGCAATTGAGTTGGTTTTTCACTCAAAGTTAAAGCTGGAGCAGATTATGTATGTGACCTGTGCCTTAGAAAAGATTTTGGTTATGAGGAATTATTGGGCGAGGAACTGAGGTGTAGCCAAGATATTTGCCATTGCTTGTTATTTCTACAAATGTTACATCAAAGAGGAGCAGGAAACAAGGACGGTAGATAACCTGGACCTAATGCCAAATGTTGGGGTAAAGACAATCGCGCTGGTTTTTTTATTTGAAGCTAAAATCCTTTTTCCTTAACTGTCAGCTGTCTAAAATGATACCTCTTTTCCACACAATAAAAATGGCCTCGTTTGTGTACACAGTCTCTCTGTTTGCGTAGTAATGTCAGGTACAAAGCATAATTTTTAGCAACTGATTATATGAATTGACCACCTGTTCTCCACAAAATATCATGCTAACGAGCACCATATTTTTTTTTATTATCACAAGAAATGTCTTTTTATACAACCATAAAATAAAAGTTTAAAATATTTTAGTTAAGAATGAAGGAAACGGTAGCTCGATAGAACTTAGTCAAGAGCACCAGGAGTGGCCGTGGTCGCGACAAAATTTCGGTTTTGAAAGAAATTGTCGTCTAAAACTGGGATTAATTTAATTGCAGCTAAGCTTCAAATCAAACGAAGTGGCATGAAATTCAAGGGAGAATACTCGTTCCTTCCCACAAGAGGTAAGGAAAAATTAGAACCATGAGGAAATCAGTAACTATTCTTTGAAAGCACTGGGAAAAGCAGCAATGATCTGGAACAAAAATTTATTTAGTATACTTTATTAGGATCTGTAAGAAATTTATTAGCCAAAAGTACCAGTCTTTTTTTTTTTGCTTGTCATCGTTTATACTTTTAAGTTTATCTTGAGTGCTTATACGTGACTGATTATATTTGACGGACACTGCACGAGCTTTCAAATAAGTTTTGCTAAAACTTATTTGCTCAAATTTGTTTTGTTTCCTTTCTCCAGACAGGCTTTCAATGCCAGTAGGTCTTCTGGCAGGATATTGCATGCCAGTAAATAACGGCTTAGAATTACTGAAAAGTGCCAGGGGTGTAGCTAAAAACTTTCCAGGGGTACGTTTAGTTTTTTTCAAATCAAACCTACGGTGACCTCATTTTCACGCGAGTGACTTGATTGAATTTCAGTTTTTTATTTTTATTTTTCGGGCAGCAGTTAGGGCCTTAATTCGCGGGTTGCCAAATTGGGGAGAAACACTTCATTTTGTTTTGAAAATTATCTAAAAGAAGTTAAGATGAGTGAAGGTGCGAGTGCCCCGCTTTTCCTTATTGATAATTTGTGCGTATCATTCCATTATCTGAGTCATGAATCTGTTCTCGGGATTTCCACACAAAACCCGTAACATTTGCAGCCGTGTTGATACTACTTTATACAATACAACACGCAAGTGACTCTTGCACAGAGCCTTTGGTGCCTGTGCTTCGACCAAAATTGCAAGTGGTTTTTGAAATGATCACTTAGCTCATAAAGTGAAACGACTTTTTTATGTAAAAAGACTAGTAAGCAGTTTCTCAGGGTAAAACTTACACTGTTGGTCACAATTTTGTGTCCTTACCTCCATGTACAATTTTCTGTTCGAAAGTGAGTTGGGCATGATTGTGGTCGGCTGCGGCCATATTAAGTCTTTCTATATTTCCTTTGCTGTCTATCAATGCCCGTCTTCTAAAACAGCATACATTAGGCAAAGCTTGTTTAATCTCAGGAATTCTTATTGCGTACACCACTGGATTGATAAACGAGCTGGAAAGATACATAAAATAAGCTAACAGCAAAATGTGGTCATGTATGTTGTATCCGAAGGAGCCTATTAACTTGCAAAGAGATATAGGGATCCACGAAATCAAAGTAAAAGCAGATACATATAATAAGGCTTTTGTTAGGCGCTGCTTTTGAAAGGCTCTATTTTGTTGATGAGAAGGAGTTTTCTGCTTAAACTTTCTCCAAATACCGATGTTGAGGCCGCAGATAGTCAATACTAGAAGCAAGATGTATGAACACAGGAAACTGTTTAACGTCATTGGGCTCCAGAAAAGTAGGACATAAACCGTGGAAAATAGGATAGCCAACGTCCACACCATCAAAATAACAAGCCTGTATGCTCGCGTAGAAAGTGTTCGGTGCTTTAATGGCCAATAAATGGCGTAAAATCTCTCAGCAGATATCAAAGCAGCGGTAATAGACGAGGCCAGTGAGAAAAAGGCGCAGATGATGTTGCGGAAAAAAGATATTTCATATGATGCCTGGTTTTCAGGATTCACCAGGAAAAAAATAAAAGAAGGGAGAAAGATTCCTCCCAACATTAGATCAGCATACGCCATATTCATAACAAGATATAAACTTTTCTTTTTGCGAAGCTTCTTGTTAAATGCAAAGAGTGCAATTGCGAGCATATTCCCCAAGACGACAGCAACAGCTTGCGCCGAAAACGCAAAACTCCAAGCGATGGTTTGTGCATTCGAAAAGATTTTCGCCCTTGATGAAAATGAAGAAGAAGAGGTGTTAGCTGATACATTAGTCATTGTAAGTTTACTGCAAACAGTCACCTATCTTCAATAATATGTCAGTGAAGAAACAGGGCTCTGTAACGACCTTAATCCAGTCAGCACCAAGTGTTTCTGTCAAGGCAGTTGCTAGTTTTTTTTTTAATTTGAAGCTAAAATCTATTATTGTTAACTGAATAGGTTTTAAATGATGTCCCGTTTTCTACATAATGAAAGATTTGACCTCTCTGGTGCACAAACCATTTGCTTAGTGGTATCACCCGCTAAGCAGTTTTCGAAAACCGAACTGTATAAGTCGCCACCTGCTCCATTTGGAGAACATTTACATAAGTTAATTCACCAACTCAGGGAATGTTACGAGTATTTTTTTAAATTTGATATGTATAGCTTGAACACAAAAGCCTGAATTCGGCTAATATATTGCTGTGAGCTCGATAAAAGGTCAAACTAGTTTTTTGACTCTGAGATTTAAACGAAATGCAACTCCCTCCATGACTGAAAATTATCATCGAAGAAGGGACTATAATTCATGGCTAACCTTAACGAAACTCATGCAGTTTACACCTAAAGGAAGCAGCGGGACACTTGTACATGTTAAGTGCTCCCTTAGTTTTGAAGAATAGAAGAAAAAAATGTTCATTTCCAGAACGAAATATAAAGTTAAAAGTGAATGATACAAATACGCTGAAGTAACAATGAAATCTCGGCAGAGTTCTGTCCCTAAAATGTCATTTCATTTGTCAGTATACTTAGACTATTAGGGATCAGTAATCAGCCAGAATATCTAAAATGAATATGAAGCGTCTTTACTTGATATTTTTTACATACTGCTGGATACATATTTTATTAGGTAAGATCGTGAAGATTAGTTGTGCAACACCTCAAGCTATCATGTTTTACTGATGCGAATAAAACAGAACAAAACAGCTGTCTACGGCTGCCACTCCCCGCTCTTCAGATAAGTGCTACTGGAACAAGGGTTTCAACTGCCTTTTGAGGGATGAACAACCGTTCATTTCTTGAATCTTCAAATAAGGGCGTAATGAGCGTTGGAAACATTTTGAATGAACAATAATGACGTCATCATCGCTTGATGACGTCAACAAGTTACAACATGAAATGGGACCGTCTTCTTGCCAAAATTTCAAAATGGTCGGACACCCATTGCGAGAGAAAGGAGACTATGCTGATTGGGGATTTAGGCCTTTCCGGAAAATGTCAACACTGACAAACTTTACCTTTTTTTGTTTCCATGCTTTATTTATATGCAAATTTTCTTACATTATGTCAGAGTCTATTGTTTCTTTAATTAGTTAATTATTTTACTTTTAAATTTCTGTTGTTATCCAACGGTTAATTACGGTTAATTATTTCTGAAGATGTACATGTTGGAACAAACGAAACGTCAAGTTAAAGTTTTATTTCTTTCCAGAGATGCCTTATTATATTGTTACGAAAATGACGCAGAACAAAATGGGGGAAGACGCGGAGAGCGACTTTGCTATTCCTTTTGTCGACGAAAACGACTACAGCGAGATTTCTGCGAAAGCGTGTCAGCGAAACCGAAATTAAAAAAGAATCGCCCTTCCTCTCTTGTATAGAGCTAACAGTAGAGCAGGGAAATCCTTAACTCACTGAATATTCTCTCAGGATCATTTATAATTTACAGTTTGAAGAGAGCAATTTCTGGTTTGATGCTTATTTTTTTCAGTCTTTATAGCGATTATTCCTACCCACTTACTTTGTCAATTGTATAGGCGAACCCTCCTAAAGCTGAATTTCAAGGGACCATATTCAAGCTCAGAAAGAGAAATAAAATTTCGTCGTTGCTTATTTGCGTCCTCCATAAAACGCGAAATTAGGCATTTTCACGTCGTAGTCGTGCAAAAACGGGAAAGAAATGAACAAAAAAGTGTGTTGCACGTGCGAAGTTGTTGTTTTGCTAATTAAACCTATTGTTTTTTTGACGTTCTAGTTGTCGTCCGCGTCGTTGGATCTTAAACTCCCTAAATTGTACAAACGACCGGTTTCAATAGACCGGCGAAATTTCTCATTTTATTAAAGCACTGAGGTTACGACAACTTCGAGTTAAACTGATTTCACGGGTTGTCAAAGAGTCCAGCGATTCCTTTTTCCCAGGTGAGCGCCGACTCATTTCGCTTCAATATTCAGGAATGCTCTCGATCTTTTTACGCTTTCATTGCCTCTCGCCCGACATGTTTTGCACGGCGTTTGGTCATGCGAAACCTCCACGAAACATCCACGCCTCGCGCGAGGTAATTTTATCCCGATTCTAAAAATAACTCTTGACGAATTACCTATGGAATAGGGTGTATATGGGGGATGCCCTCTCTGTCCCCTTTATAGTCTCTTGTCTTACGGCCTTGAATAAGAATTCTATAATACAATGAAAAAGTGCATTCACACGTAGTAGTAAGTGTTAAAACTTTAACTGTCAACGACATAAACAGCAACACTGCCACCGGTACTTTTAACAAAAATTAAGAACCACAAAGTATGGTTTTCATTGGTGAATGGAGTATGGCATCATTATGATGAGCTGTGGGAGAGGAATTCCAGAAGGCAGGGACTTAAAAAATACACAGGGAAGCAATCCACTCCAAATGGCTTCCTCCTCTCTCACTGTGTGTACATTTTCGACAGGATTTTGCATTAACGTGGCCTGTATCCTTTGACCTGTTGTGAGTGTAGAATAATTTCTATAGCTCAAAAACATAGATAATGAATCAAGATTTCACTGTTAAAAAAAAGCAATATTTGTCTGAAAAAAAAAACTTCATTCAGAGGGGTTCACCTGAAAAAAAAATCCTGCACAAGCAGAGGGCGAAAAAAAAAATTCGTACAAGCTGAAAATTCCTCGTTAAATGGACGAATGACCCACGGACCAAGTTTCCCGCCATAATAACAACTGCTTCCGACGCAAGACCACAACTACAAGCGGTGACCTGTGCTCTAGAAAGGATTTCGGTCATAGTTGATAGAGAATCATGGAGTGAGGCAGCTGAATCTGACATATTGGTCGACGTTGCTTGAAAGGCGAGCGAGAAACAAAAACGTTTAACAACCGGGCCCCCTGATGTCAAATGCTATTGTAGAGGCATTTGAGTTGGTTTTTCACTCAAAGTTAAAGCTGGAGTTGATTACGTATGTGACCTGTGCCTTAGAAAAGATTTTGGTTATGAGGAATTATTGGGCGAGGAACTGAGGTGTAGCTAAGATATTTGCCATTGCTTGTTATTTCTACAAATGTTACATCAAAGAGGAGCAGGAAACAAGGACGGTAGATAACCTGGACCTAATGCCAAATGTTGGGGTAAAGACAATCGCGCTGGTTTTTTTATTTGAAGCTAAAATCCTTTATCCTTAACTGTCTAAAATGATATCTCTTTTCCACACAATAAAAATGGCCCCGTTTGTGTACACAGTCTCTCTGTTTGCGTAGTAATGTCACGTACAAAGCACAATTTTTAGCAACTGATTATATGAATTGACCACCTGTTCTCCACAAAATATCATGCTAACGAGCAAAATAATTTTTTTTATTATCATAACAAATATCTTTTTATACAACCATAAAATAAAAGTGTTAAATATTTTAGTTAAGACTGAAGGGAACGGTAACTCGATAGAACTTAGTCAAGAGAACCAGGAGTGGCCGTGGTCGCGACAAAATTTCGGTTTTGAAAGAAATTGTCGTCTAAAACTAGGATTAATTTAATTGCAGCTAAGCTTCAAATCAAACGAACTGGCATGAAATTAAGGGGAGAATACTCTTTCCTTCCCACAAGAGGTAAGGAAAAATTAGAACCATGAGGAAATCAGTAACTATTCTTTGAAAGCACTGGGAAAAGCAGCAATGATCTGGAACAAAAATTTATTTAGTATACTTTATTAGGATCTGTAAGAAATTTATTAGCCAAAAGTGCCAGTCTTGTTTTTTGCTTGTCATTATTTATACTTTTAAGTTTATCTTGATTGCTTATACGTGACTGATTATATTTGACGGACACCAGCTCGAGCTTTCAAATAAGTTTTACTAAAACTTATTTGCTCAAATTTGTTTTGTTTCCTTTCTCCAGAGAGGCTTTCAATGCCAGTAGGTCTTCTGGCAGGATATTGCATGCCAGTAAATAACTGCTTAGAATTGAAAGTGCCAGGGGTGTAGCTAAAAACTTTCCAGGGGTACGTTTAGTTTTTTCAAATCAAACCTACGGTGACCCATTTTCACGCGAGTGACTTGATTGAATTTCAGTTTTTTATTTTTATTTTTCGGGCAGCAGTTAGGGCCTTAATTCGCGAGTTGCGAAATTGGGGAGAAACACTTCATTTTGTTTTGAAAATTATCTAGAAGAAGTTAAGATGAGTGAAGGTGCGAGTGCCCCGCTTTTCCTTATTGATAATTTCTGCGTATCATTCCATTATCTGAGCCTTGAATCTGTTCTCGGGATTTCCACACAAAACCCGTAACATTTGCAGCCGTGTTGATACTACTTTATACAATACAACACGTATGTGCTTCAAGTAAAATTGCAAGTGGTTTTTGAAATGATCACTTAGCTCATAAAGTGAAACGGCTTTTTTTTATGTAAAAAGACTAGTAAGCAGTTTAAAAGGGTAAAACTTCCACTGTTGGTCACAATTTTGTGTCATTACCTCCATGTACAATTTTCTGTTCGAAAGTGAGTTGGGCATGATTGTGGTCGGCTGCGGCCATATTAAGTCTTTCTATATTTCTTTTCCTGTCCATCAATGCCCGTCTTCTAAAACAGCACGTATTCGGCAAAGCTTGTTTAAACTGAGGAATTCTTATTGCGTACACCACTGGATTGACAAAAGAGCTGGAGAGATACATAAACAAAGTTAGCAGCAAAATGTGGTCATGTATGTTGTATCCGAAGGAGCCTATTAAATTGCAAAGAGATATTGGGATCCACGAAATCAAAGTAAAAACAGATACATATAACAATGCTTTTGTTAAGCGCTGCTGTTGAAAGGCT